TCAACTTTAACCCTATTTATATCTCTCTCTTTGATTTATTCCTTATCATTAATTTTTTTTTTTAACTTTTAGCAGTACTATATAGTATTAGTTAAATACATAAATTGTGTTTATATTTTTAATATTTAAAATAAATAAAAATAATGACTATTTTGAGTAGAGAGACTAATGAACAAATTAAATTAAAATCCAACAAATCAAAATATCTAATCCTAACAATAAAATGGGTCTAACTTAATGTGAGTCTCGCCCGAGTTTCTCCACCATGTAATTGTAATGACTAATAACTGGAAGCACAAAAATTTAGGATAAAAATTTGAAATTATTAATGTGATATAAATTATATTATTAAATTAATTAATGTATACAATATTATAAAATTAAAAATAATTATTATAAAATATAATATTTTTTTAATATTTTAAATAACATAATATATGTTATATCATTAATTTTATATTTTAATTTAAATCTTGATGTTATTTACCATTATTCGATTGTAATTCATTTTTCTAGAAATAAATTGCGTTCTTTGGTTGATTACAATGCATATCAACTCCCCACCAAAAAAAAAAAAAAATACAACCACATCTGTTGATGTTGACGTGCATGGCAGAACTGATCAAGTTTTTAACATTAGCTGTTTTCAAAACCAGGTTCAGTACCTGGTTTTGAGCCTAGTTTTGAGAAAGGTCAAAAAAAAGGAAAAAAAGAAAAAAGGGGTAACTGGGCCATGATACGCCCTTGCTTGCGTCATTGAATCTCAAAAATTAATATGTATAATTTATTTAAATAAAATTTTAATTTAACAGTTATTTTTAAAAAATATTAATTAAAGAATAAAAATTTTTGATAAGTCATTTAATAAATTTAGAATGATAACCTATAAAACATTTTTTTATATATAATATACTATTTTTTATTTTTATATTAGATGATAATTTACACATAAAAAAATATTTTTTATATTAGATAATAAATTATACAATAAATTATTATTTTTTATTTTTAAATATGTTTTACATAATTTAAATATGAAATTTCTTATATAAAAATTTAAATTCTTAATCATTGAAACACTTTTTAATAGATAAAAGATAATTTTTTTTCCATATTAAAATTTGAAATTTATATATCTAAAGTAGAAGTTAAAATTTTTAACATATATTTAGGTTGAAAAAAATAAAAAAATTTTAACTAATTAAATTATCATATTTTAAAAATATTATAATTTAATTAATTATTTTTTTTAGTCTCCTTAATTTAAAATATTATTAATCAATTGAACGAACCTCCAGGAACATTTGCAATTGGTAGCGAAAATATAAGATAAAAAGGGCAAAGTTGTGCCAATCGCTCCTTTTTTTACTTTTTCTTAACGGCAATTGCACGGTTAGGTTTGCAACCTGGCGGCTTTATCTTGTTACCTGTTAGGGGTAGAATTCGTCATCCATCTCCAACGTCACATGCTTTTGTCATCATGACCCAAATGCTAGGAACTTTCTATCATTTCCTTTTCAAATAAAATTTTCCTTCCTTTCTGGCAGAAAGATGTTTTTTTTTTTTTTTTGGTGACAATGGCAGAAAGATGTTTGATGGTACATAACTTAGTGGACAATTCTTTACTTTTAATTTTTTTTTCTTTACTAAAATAATAAGGGTTTTTATGTTCAAAAAAATAATAATAAGGGTTTTTTTAACTTTATTTTTAAATTAAATATTTAAACAAAATTTATATTTATATTTATTTTATTTTAAAAAATTAAAATAAACTTTTTTATAATATATTAAATAATTAAAAGATAATAATAAAGTTGAAGTACAAAAATATTTATTTTTTTAATTAAAAAATAATTATTATAACAAAAAAATGTTTATTATTCTAAAGTTGACGAGTAGAAAAGGGAAAGATAAATTCAGGCACTAAGGAACTTTTTCACTCAGCTTTCCGGCCAATGCAAATGAAAGAAAAGCAAATGATTGTGAATTTTAGATTTTACTTTCTTAGTACTGGTAAAAGTTACCCCACATTCGCTTTTGTAAAACTTCGCTCCTTGTTCTTTTTGGTTAAAATATTAATTTAGTCCTTCAATTTTTAGATTTATATTAAAATTTATCTTTAAACTTTAAAAAATATTCAAATTATCTCTAAATTTTAATTTTAGGTACCAAAATAATCTTAAGTTTAAAACATCATAACCAACTTAATTCTTAAACTTTGAAAACAATTATCAATTTAGTCTTTGAACTTTAATTACATGTCAATCTGATTTATAAATAAAAATATGTTATAATGGTAAAATATGACTATTCAATTTTACGTGTCATTAGCATTTTAAAGAAGAATTAATTTTGTAATAAGATAACAAGCCATGTGGTGCTTCTGTTAATAGAAGAACTATTTTGACACTGTAAATTAAAGTGTAAGAAAAATTTTAGTATTTTTTGAAGTTTAAGGATAATTTTGACATAAATCTAAAAGTTAAAGGACCAAATTAATATTTTAATCTTTCTTTTTTTGTTCACATGCTTTGGATAGAGGTAAGGGAAAGAAACTAGGATTTTGGATTAAGAATGGATTCATTTGCATATAAAATTTATATATTATATTTATATAAAATCTTAATAATTTATTTCTTCATTTTTAATAATTGAGATTTATTATGACTTTTTAAGTGAAAAATAATTATTTTTAATAAATGTGAATATATCTTAATCATTAAAAGTAAAAAGATGAACACTATTAGAAAACAGAATATAATCGACAATAAATACTGTCGATTATAAAAAGGATTTTTGTCGATTATGTTATAATCGACAGACATAATCGACAATCAAAGTTGTTATATAAACAACGGTCGAAAATGATTATAATCAATAGAAAAAATTTCTATCGAATATGCAGATTATAAGTTTCGATTATACTTGACAAAAAATAAAAAATTTTTATCGACAGCCATTAGCT